GAATACTAAATCACTTTTTTCATATTTCCATCAATTCCCTCTACCCATAGGCCACTCCTTCAGATTAAAACGGTCTGTTTTTGACCAAACAATGCTAATTAGACGGCTTGAGGAAGAGCAGAGCATCCTTGTGAAGGAGATGTCTCAGCACATCACGTCTCTACGAAAGGAGATAAAGGCAGTGGATAAGCTTCAAGAGAACATCAGAATGGGCTGCCGCTGTAAGTGAAATTCTGAATTTTTTTTTTTTTTCTCTCACTAAATTAGTCCCTTTCCTACTGCTCAACTCACCTCAACTTGATAACAGTAATTTCCTGTGTATTAGCCACATTGTGTATAAGCCGCAGGGCAGTGTTTTATGGAAGTTAAAAGAAACAAAACCATATCACTTCCATATTAACTGCCCCCGTGTATTAACCTAATAGCTGAAGAAATTTTGCAAAATCAATATAAACTGCGGCTAATAGTTGGGAAATTACGGTTCTCTGGTTACAGACGTTTTGTTTACCACTGCATAAAAGTACCATTTAATGTAATTGGTGGCTATAGCGACACTGAAGTAAACTACCCACTGAAGTAAACATCACCAACGTGGAAAAGATGGTAACAGCAATGACTATAGCAGATAAAATCAACAGCATTCTGTATTCATCACAATACAGGCACGTTTTTGGGGAGATGGCAATATTTACTCTTAGGCATAAAAAAAAAAAAAGTTTGGTTCCGGTTGATTGTCAGTTCAGGTCATGGGTCGGTAGGGATTTTTTTTTTTTTTTATAATTTTTTTTTCAGTGGCAGCAACGGATGGGTAGGAAATTATTCAGGGCTTGACATTAAAGGGATAGTTCACAAAATTATTTTTTGATATGTTTTAGCTTACCTCAAGGGCATCCAAGATGTAGGTGTTTTTGTTTCCACAGTATTTTCAATTTTGATATTTTTAGGTCAAACCTGTGCTCCGCTCATGTGTGTAGATTTTTCTGCGCGAGCGTCAACAGCGCAACCTTACCATCAGTAATACAGTAGGCCTACATTTATTATCCACAATCGATCGCAACTTGCAATAAATGTAATAAAATCAGAATCATTCTCTCGGTTAAGTGATTCCCTAGTTATTTTTTGGTTTTTTATTGATGTTCTAATCCGGCAAAAAAAGACAGAAATGACAAAAAAAAGACTTGTATAATATGTGTTATAGTTCAGTTTGACGAACGATATCTGCCTCGTTTGTTTATAGCATTGCTGGAGGACAAGATGCATCTTGCATCGCGTGCTGTACAAAAACGTAAATTTGTACAGCACGCGTACAAAAACTTAAAAAAGACAAAAACGTAAATTTATAGTTCGCCTCAAAGTTTTTTATTTGTGTATTTATTTAATTTTTATTATTTCTTCCCCAAGCTCATAAAATAAATTTGGGTCGTAATAATTGACAGGGTCGGTCGGAAACCGGAAACAAACAAAATTTTTTTTTATGCCTTATCAGCCGTCCTGTCCGTGCTAACACTGACAGATAGCTGCTGAGGGCATGCTCAGACATTACGATGCTGGTGATAACAATGACAACTTGGCAATCTCCAATATTTACATATCATCGTTGTAACCTCAACAGAGGTGTAACCAAAAGTGGTAGGTACAGAGTGCTAAAAAGTCATGTTGAGCTGGTACCAGTCTATTTGTTTAGTTTTGTCCCACTGCCATCACACCCATATTAGTCATACTCCACCCTCACACTTTGTTTGGTCTATCCTCACCTCAACCCCACCCCCCAGTAACCACAGTATATGACAATTAAATGTCCTTGTTTCACTTGTTTAAGATTTCATGCAACAAACAACCAAATGTTTCTCTCTATGTGGCTCTACATGCTATGATTTTGGGACAATACTTGTAATTCTTATGTTTATGTATGTTACAGATTTTGGTGACATGTCAGAGGATGCTGCATCTGGTTGGAAAAGTGTCCTCATGCGGAGGTCCTCCATACTGGGGAGTTTATTCCAAAATGCTGTGAGCACGTACAGGGCTATAGTTGACGACCTCCAGATACAGGACACAGAATGCAGTACGGACACTGATGACGAGTATGACCTTAGTAGTCCAGAGTCAGAAGATTAGGAAAGAGACCACTCTATGTTTTGTTTTTAAAATCCTTCAACTTTGTGTTTTATTTTCCTTTTTCTTTTCTTTTTTCTTTTTTTTAAAGCCTAATCCCACTCAAAGGATCTCATTCATGAAACGTTCGTAAATATACAAGTACATATGTAAGTGATTTGTGCGTAAAGAGACATTGCAGAAAATTCTTCTCCTGATTCACAACTACTTTGAAAACATCAGATTACACAGAAGTGTGTGTGTTAATGAATTCCAATCAGTTGTAAATGGGACGTGCATGCACGCTCATTCTCTCAATTACCATAAATCCTGCAGATTAAAACCGACTGACAACTATATATGGGCATCATCCCAGCAAACATGCCAGTGCGGGCCCACTGTGGGTAAGTGTGGGTTTTCTGTGGGACAGTGTGGGCAAGGGCAAACCCTTTGGGGCCCCATGTGGGCTTGCTGAGGGCAAGCCCACAGTGGGCTTTCCCACAGAAACCCCTCAAGGGCCCCTAGTGGGTTAGCCCATGTGGGGCCCATAGCAGTTTTGCCCATTTGGGCCCCCATGAGGGTTTACTGTTGGCAACCCACTGTGGGTTTGCCCACAGAAAACCCACAAGGGCCCCCAGTGGGTTAGCCCATGCGGGGCCCATAGCAGATTTGCCCATTTGGGCCCCCATGAGGGTTTACTGTGGCCAACCCACTGTGGGTTTGCCCACAGAAAACCCACACGGGCTCGCAGTGGGTTAGCCCATGCGGGGCCCATAGCAGTTTTGCCCATGTGGGCCCCCATGAGTGTTTACTGTGGGCAACCCACTGTGGGTTTGCCCACAGAAAACCCACAAGGGCCCCCAGTGGGTTAACCCATGCGGGGCCCATAGCAGATTTGTCCATTTGGGCCCCCATGAGGGTTTACTGTTGGCAACCCACTGTGGGTTTGCCCACAGAAAACCCACAAGGGCCCCCAGTGGGTTAGCCCATGCGGGGCCCATAGCAGATTTGCCCATTTGGGCCCCCATGAGGGTTTACTGTGGGCAACCCACTGTGGGTTTGCCCACAGAAAACCCACAAGGGCCCCCAGTGGGTTAACCCATGCGGGGCCCATAGCAGATTTGTCCATTTGGGCCCCCATGAGGGTTTACTGTTGGCAACCCACTGTGGGTTTGCCCACAGAAAACCCACAAGGGCCCCCAGTGGGTTAGCCCATGCGGGGCCCATAGCAGATTTGCCCATTTGGGCCCCCATGAGGGTTTACTGTGGGCAACCCACTGTGGGTTTGCCCACAGAAAACCCACACAGGCCCCCAGTGGGTTAGCCCATGCGGGGCCCATAGCTGTTTTTCACTATGGGGCCCCCATGAGGGTTTACTGTTGGCAACCCACTGTGGGTTTGCCCACAGAAAACCCACATGGGGCCCCAGGCAGTTAGCCCATGCAAAGTTAAGTTGTTTAACAGTCAAATGTTTTAACATTAGAAGGTTTAATATTAGAAGCTTAATCAAACTATTTAACGATCCTGTGAAATGTCAGTCCATAATATAACTAAAACTGCATATAATGGATTATGAGCATGTGCATTTAAAAACAAATTTTTGACTTATAAGGAATTATAAAAAAATATAGATGTAACTATATATTGTAATGCGGTAGGTCTTAATGAGTCTTTATATATTTATAGAATTGTAATATTGCTCATAAATAAGTAGAAATGGTGCTATAATTCATTATAAGTATGGACTGCACAGAAAGTGTTACCACATTTATTAAATAAAATTAACTTATTTGTCACAATAAAAACAATACAATGGTTTACTGATTTGTTTTGGTATTCATCAGTGATGGATATTTATCATAATAAAATCATATATTAATGATACTAATAAATAGGCCTACATCACTGATGTAACGATTGAGCCCAATCAGACACAAACGAAACTGCGACGTCACTGGACGTAATTTCATTACCAACTTTCATTTATATAAAGCATTTTAGTGCTTTCATATTCTAATGAAAAAAATAATATTACATTGGTCATAGAACTACATAATGATTTTTAAATTCATGATATAAAATTATATTTTAAATTGTTATATGTTATAATTCTAGATGTTTAAATGCTGCGTGCCTTTTGAATTGATATGATTTCAACGCGCGTGCGCGTGCGAGTCGCATTCAAAGTTGTCCGATTCAAAGACAGGAGCGCACGCGAGCAGATGGAAACCATGGAAACGACTCAACTTCTTCAACTGACAAACAGCAAAAATAGCGTCTCTCTGTTTTTCCACTGCTTTCAGGTAAGTTTAGTTAACGAAATCACACAAATAATACATACAAACGTTCCTGACACCTTTCTTACGTATAATTGATACGCTTCTGTTGAATATTTACTTTTTAGAAAAGGTTTTGAGTCTTCGAAAAAGTCCGTTAGCATCTCAACTGTTTTCAGAATAGGTAACGTTAACGTTAAGTTAACGTTAGCTCTTGTTTTACATAAGTTTGGGGTTTTAACCACATCTTTGTGTTGATAACAGTTTTTGATAGTTTTGTTTTGCTGGTAATTTGTCAATGGGTTATTGGAAATTAGCTAATTGCTAGCTAGCCTGAAAGAATTCACACTGTAACGTACTGTTGATCAGTGACGTCACTTACAAAGATTGATAATAAAAGTGATTTTAGAAGGGACAGAAAAAAAACCTCCACAACAAAGGAGGAATTATTGTTTAATGATAATAATTTCATATGCATTTCTTGCACAATATATTACGTTAAGATTTTATATTCTTTTTCTCTTTTCTGCATTGCATCTTGATTCCTTGTAATAAACCCTTTGTTCTATTGCAAATCCTATGTAACATTGTTGGCTCTGTGACACATTGCATGTTATTTTGTAGTCTAGAAAATCATCATGATCTCCTGCTACAGCCCTGTCCCAAGACAACCTCCACGGCTATGAACTCGACTAGTAAGCAAAACTTCAATCATACTGTTTAAAAGTTTGGGGTCTGTAGGATTTATGCTTTTTAATTAAGTCTCACACTCATTAACCCCAGTTTTTTTTCAGTGATATTGTCCTTGAGAAGTCTGTAGGCTAAATAATAGCAGGCAAAATAATATAATGTTATAATGGTCATTATAATAATTAATTTAACTATTATGATAACAGGATATCTGTCACGGTGTGAGGTGGTGGAGTACAGGGGTGCAGGCAGAAGGAATAGGAGGAGTCCGGATTAACATGAAGATACTTATTTTAATCAATAATACAGGTAGGAGGACAGGGAATCTCCGGGTACATACAACATAACAACAACATCGACCGAACAGGACTGACTAACACAGAAGGAACTAAATACACAGAAGAATCAAACATAATGAGGTGAAGACAGGTGAAACAGATGACGATGACGAGGAACAGGTGGCTGATGAGGGAGTGAACACGGGATAGGGTGACGAGAGGATCCTGGGAAGTGTAGTGCTGAAGACAAGACAGACTGGTGCAGACGGAGGACTGTGACAATATCATGGTCATTGGTATATTCTCTAGGTGTGTTTTTAATTATGTTGGCCAATGAGACACCATACTGTCCAGCGCTAAGGTATTTATTTATTTTCATGTATTTTTTTTAATGATAAATACTAAAGTTCTTTTAACTTTTAAATGCTGAATTCAGGGGGTCAACAACTTTAGGCACGCAAGTTATTTTTCACAGATATCTGGCCAGTTTACTTATGGCTCATATTCTTAGCCTTTAAATGTTTGAATTTAAATCCACAATGCAATATCAGGGGGTAAAGATATCATTAGAGTTTCTAAAGTTACTATGCTCTTGTTACCAGATGAGATATCATTTGACCCTGTGATTCTTCAGGACCAGATCTTGATGCCATCCACACCCAGTACATGACAAAGGTGAGTTTCACAATAGCTGCCACTACCACAAACCAAGAGACCGAACACAACAGGCCTTCATCCATAAGAACTCACCCATACGTTGGGATAGTAACCAAAACCCGGTATTAAACATTAAACGGGCCCTGGGGCCAAATTAAAGGACATCTCCGGTCAATTTTAACATTGAGCTATTTTTTTTTTGTACATTTGGAATGCTGTCAGTACAGACAAAAATCGGTGTTGCCTATACACTGTGTTATCATCTTTTTAAAATTCGCACCCTGCTGACTTCAATGGTGCATGGTCTAAACCTGCTTTTAGCCTCTTAACATCCTTGATTTGTCATTACGAGTGTACAGCCATGTGAGTGGTGTTATTAAGAGTGACCACGGTCAACCTGACTGCAGTAGATATGAAAGATATTAATAAAAATGATGTTAATTCAGCCATCGCACATACCTCTATTTGCTTCCTGTTTTCTGTCGATGCCCACAGTAGTCGATTGTCGATCTCACACGTGAGTTCATTTATATCGTCTCAAACCTACCACTGTGTGGTGTTCTGAGAATATCAGCTCAAATGGATAGTTCATCCGAATCAGATGTTAAACACACAGAGGTTTGAGATGATATTCACTTATGATCGCGCGCGTGAACTTGACAATCGACTACTGTGGGCTTCGCCCGAAAACAGGAAGCAAATAGAGGTATGTGCGCTGGCTGAATTAACATCATTTTTATTAATATCTTTCATATCTATTAACCGTGGTCACTCTTAATAACACCACTCACATAGCTGTGCACTTGTAATGACAAATCATTACGAGGACAAAAAAAATAATTACAATCTTTTTTAAGGAAGACCGCAGTATCGATAAGCCCAGGTGTTATCAGTTCTGTCTTGCAAATTCTGTGAGGATTAGGAGGGGTATTTTAAACAGTCTTCATACAACATGTTTTTCAGGCTGGTGGTTGTTTGTAATTTTAAATTTAAATTTTAATAAGTAGGGAGAAAATAAAAACCTTTATTAAACGCATGTTAATGTTTTCTAAATGATTAGTTAATCATTAACTAAACATTTGTAAATTATTTATAACTGAATCTACAAAACATACAATAATTAACATCACTTATAAACATTTATGAAACGCATAATCATGTTTCATAAAAAATAAGTTAATCATTTACTAATCACTTGTAAATGACTTGTAACAGAATTAACAAAACATACATAAAATGTTAGTATATCAATTGCTAATCATTTATGAATGTTTTGTAAAAGCTTAGTTCATCATTAACCAAACAAAATGACTTACAACTAAATGTTATTATAAACCGCAGCTCTCTCATTGACCTATTCAGTCATTCTCTTAGTTGAGCATTTATAAATAGCACCTGGAACAATCAGAAGACGTTTCCTCATTCAAAGTGCAGGTTGAAAACTTTCTTAGGTTGAAATGGCTCAACAGTATAACCCTTATTTTGTTTTTAACATTTGTATTTCAATTGATCCTTTCTCACTTAGATGCTGTGACAAAAAGCAGTCAAGCCACTGCATGTGATGTGGAAGCCTCTATGAAGACATGGCTCCGTAATCCCTGGGACAGAGATGGGGGAAGGCAAGGAAGGGCCAGAACTGCAGAAATACCAACTGTTGCCCCTGAGGGGATTGATTTTTAATTTTCAATCCCCTGTTTTCTGTGGTTATTGCTGTTTTAAACTGTATTATCATTAATTATAATTATTATTAAATATAAATAAATTATTTGGGGAAAAAAACATGACCCTCGATTTATTGCTGCTAACAAGTGCAATTGTACTGCATATAGTAATATGGGTGTACCTACTCTGTGTGCTCAAACTTTGCAACTGCACACACAGTGTGCCCACATCCAGCCTGCTATAATTTGTGTGGGCCAGCCCAAAGTCAGCCCACACTTTGGGCTGGCCCACGGTAAGTAGAGTGGGCCCCGATTGAAGCCAGTTGTGGGCCCACAGCAAACCCTTATAGGGGCCCATTTGGGGCCATTGCAGGCAGCCCACTGTGGGCCCACAACTGGCCCCAATGGGGGCCCACTCTACTTACCGTGGGCCTGCCCATAGTCAGCCCACACTTTTGGGCTGTCCCACTGGGGCCCCACCTGGGTCCCGAAGTGTGGGGCCCACACGTGCCCCGCATTTCACGCCGGTATCTGGGCCCACAGTGGGCTGCCCGCAATGGCCCCACATCGGCCCCTATAAGGGTTTACCGTGGGCCCACAACTGGCCCCAATGGGGTCCACTCTACTTACTGTGGGCCTGCCCACAGTCAGCCCACACTTGTGGGCTGTCCCACTGGGGCCCCACCTGGGTCCCGAAGTGTGGGGCCCACACGTGCCCCGCATTTCACGCCGGTATCTGGGCCCACAGTGGGCTGCCCGCAAGGGCCCCATTCGGGCCCCAAAGAAGCTTGTTTGCTGGGATATTATGACACCAAAGGAAGGATTTCAATGTTACGTCAAAAGCTTTTTATTATCAGAAGTTTATTCAAAACGCCACATTTTATTTTCAAGCGTACATAGTGGTGTATCGGGTCCTAAAAAAAAAAAGATTTTTTGAGGTAATAATGCTTTTACCTTAGTGCTTAATGGAAAAATGCTTTGCAGCACATTACAGATGCAGTTAATGGAGTTTCATCTGTTAATCGAACAGTCCCAGAAGTGAAAAGAAAATGGTTCGACATGAAGCTTGGCTGCAACACTTATTACTTGCAGACTAGTTTAAAAAAAAATTGAATAAACAGCTTGAATATATATATATATACTGTATATATATATATATATATATATATATATTATTTTTTTTTTTAATATAATAAAAAAAGACTTGCGGACTTGTGTTCCATTTGCAGATGCTATTACTGGCTCTCATCATAAAAGTAAAAAGTAAAACCGTACGTAATATATATACGTATATATATATATTTATGATGTGTAAACATGTACCTGATTAAGGTGAATTTTAAAATGCTGCCTTTCGAAACGTTCTAATGTTAAACGCACTATTTACGCGTGGCAGGGAGCAGGTGTAGATTTCTTTCAAAAAATTTACGCCAGAACCACTTTACACACGATTTACAATTTTTTTTTTCTCCTCGTGTCTCATGAATGAGACCCATTATGTTCTGTTTATGTACAAATGAAGAGTTCAGATGCAAAAGCCTCTAAGTGCCATTTGAAATTTTCTTCTAGAATGATCATTTTTTTCAAGCTTGTATATTTAAGTTCAGTAATTTCACTTAAATAACAATTAATAGGTAATTATCATTGCCATTTAAGTGAAATCACTGAACTTAAATATACAAGCTTGATAAAAATGATCATTCTAGAAGAAAATTTCAAATGGCATTTAGAGGCTTTTGCATCTGAACTCTTCAAATGTACATTTACACTGTAATTACACTTATACATAGCCATATTCTACTGCTCTCCATACTATTCATCCTGAAACATACACTTATTCTTACTACTCATAATGTTTCTGCACTACAATGGTACTGTTACCACACTGCACATAGATGTACATACGTCTATATGGTTCATACTGAATATCCATATTTATTTTGTTTTTCTTACACTGCATACACATTATTCTTACTACTATTATAATGTTACAGATACTACTTTTCACATATCGTATTGTTCATGCATTGTTCATATTACATAGCCATATTCTGCTCTTATGTGGTAACCGCTAATTCACTGCACACATTTATAGTTCATTTTCATTATTCTAAGCCATGTTCGGTAAACCAACTGTATACTTCTGTCTACACTGCATTATTGTCCTGTCTACTTTGTATAGCACAATGCTTGTTTCTCTGTAAGTTCGTTCCTTCTTGACTAGTTCACATGATGTTTTGTGGAAATTGTATAGAGGATAAATTGTTATGGTCTTAAGGAAATAAATAGAAAATCCACCTTGAACATGATTTCCCGTTATCTCAGAAGAAATGTAAAAGTCTTCCTACTTGAGTATGGAAAGTGTGTATTTTTGACAACTCTGTCCATGAGTAATAAATTTAAAAAATTAGATGCCCGCACTCTGCTATTTCTCTCATACTTATATTGTGCAAAAATGCAGGGTCAAAACGTTGCAGCACAGTATTTATGGGAAAAATAGCAGAGTGCGGGTATCTCATTATTTTAAGTTATCCAGCCCCCTTTTGCCCAGCACCGCACATGTGGGGATGAGCACACTACCACTACTGCTCAAATAATAATCCCTTGTACAAGCATTCCATGTTTTTAATGTTGCCTACTTTAACCAGATCAAGTATATGACTATGGATGGATTGCCTGTTTTCTGTTAATGTGGATTGTGCATAGGCTTAGGGTCACTCTTTCGCCGACTAAATGTTCATGGTAATCCATGAACCTAAACAATAACAATGTCCTTTTTTAGACGGTGACTTTATAGTCCTATTGGGTCCATGGGTCCATCACATGATTTCTGTAAAAAAAAAAAAATAAAATAAAAAAAGTAACGCCATGAAAATTAATTATTTTGAAATTAACTAACAAAATAATTTTTAATTGAGTGGAACCGGAGTTTGTAGTCCTTGTTTTCCCCACGGATGAATCGGTGGTGGCATTACAAATTCACTTTTAATCTATTCAAATAAATGGCTGCAAAACATGATCAAACTGGATTTTATTTTGACAGGTCGATTGTAAAGTCGACCTGAAGCATTAGGTTTCCAAATGAGCAGACAACATAAACCAACATCCAGATCAGGCTACTGAGGGAATCTGTGTGTCGACCATGGAAGGTTAACATGATCAAACTGAATAAATTATAGCACAGTGCAATAGCGCCATTGTTAGACAGTTGACCTGAAGTATTCAAGTTTAATGAGTAAACATCAAAAGCAACTCATAGAACAAGACCGTGGGTCCACCACAGATCCATTCCAGATCAGTGGTAATGTCGCAAGAGGCACAGCATTTCTCTGAAATGTAAAGATATCAAGGCTGGCTAAATGGAAAACGTGATCAAATTGGATTTTTCAATGACGGGGCAAATGTTGATTATACCAAACAGTCGACCTGAAGACTTGATTAATTATTTAATGATTAAATGAGCAAACGCAGTAAAACATCCAGATTCCAGTGAGTAACAGAACTTCGGTTAGGCTAACAGAATCAAACTGAATTTGTATAATAACAGAGGTTAACGTCATTATGGCTTTTATTGTTGGAAAAGAAACTAATTTGCTGCATTTCTAAATGAGAAAGCACGTCCGTTGGGTGAGATCTGTACTCCGTCACTCAAACGGGTATCCGTGTGTGGACCACGGAAGATGAGTGTCATTGACTTGCGCTGGAGTTATCCGTGGTATCAGCACAGACTCACTCCGTGCCGCTATCACAGATTTTAGTTCTGACTGAGAGAAATAGGTGTAAACGCCATCAAACTGGATTTTATGAGGACGAGACAAAACGTCAAGTTAATTACATGCCATTATTGTAATAGATTCGACATAAAGCTTGAGTTTCTAAACAAGCCAGCCACATTCACGTCCACGAGGTCAGGTTGTTGAGGTCCGTGGTGCCATCACGGGACATCGGTTAGGCTAAATGAACTGAATATGGCAAGACAGTGCAACAATAACAATGTCATTATGGTTTTTGATGTTGGAAAATAAACTAACACTTCAAATGTTGCGTCTCCAAATGAGAAAGCACGTCCTTTGGGTGAGATCTGTACTCTTTCATTGAAACGGGTATCCGTGTGTGGACCACGGAAGAGTGTCATTGACTTGCGCTGGAGTTATCCGTGGTGTCAGCACAGACTCACTCCGTGCCGCTATCACAGATTTTAGTTCTGGCTGAGAGAAATAGGTGTAAACGCCATCAAACTGGATTTTATGAGGACGAGACAAAACTTCAAGTTATTACATGCCATTATTGTAATAGTCGACATAAAGCTTGAGTTTCTAAAGAAGCCAGCCACATTATAACGTCCATGAGGTCAGGTTGTTGAGGTCCGTGGTGCCATCACGGGACATCGGTTAGGCTAAATGAACTGAATATGGCAAGACAGTGCAACAATAACAATGTCATTATGGTTTTTGATGTTGGAGAATAAACTAATACTTCAAATGTTGCGTCTCCAAATGAGAAAGCACGTCCGTTGGGTGAGATCTGTTCTCTTTCATTGAAACGGGTATCCGTGTGTGGACCACGGAAGATGAGTGTGACTTGCGCTGGAGTTATCCGTGGTATCAGCACAGACTCACTCCGTGCCGCTATCACAGATTTTAGTTCTGACCGTAGCCAAGCGAGAAATAGGTGTAAACGCCATCAAAATGGATTTTATGAGGAAGAGACAAAACGTCAAGTTAATTACATGCCATTATTGTAATAGATTCGACATAAAGCTTGAGTTTCTAAACAAGCCAGCCACATCACGTCCACGAGGTCAGGTTGTTGAGGTCCGTGGTGCCATCACGGGGCATCGGTTAGGCTAAATGAACTGAATATGGCAAGACAGTGCAACAATGTCATTATGGTTTTTGATGTTGGAAAATAAACTAATACTTCAAATGTTGCGTCTCCAAATGAGAAAGCACGTCCGTTGGGTGAGATCTGTTCTCTTTCATTGAAACGGGTATCCGTGTGTGGACCACGGAAGATGAGTGTGACTTGCGCTGGAGTTATCCGTGGTATCAGCACAGACTCACTCCGTGCCGCTATCACAGATTTTAGTTCTGACCGTAGCCAAGCGAGAAATAGGTGTAAACGCCATCAAAATGGATTTTATG